TTTCCCAACCTGACCAACTCAAGTTTATTTTTATCACAAGTGTCGATACGAAGCTACTTTACACTGAGAGATTAAATGAGATGTATATCACTAGTATAAATAAATGTAAGGTCTGTTTATGCTTATATTTCAATATTGACGATGACATCCCAAAGTTTTAATATGAACAAAATACATTTCTTCGGAAATGCTTTGATAACGTATTTATCATGTTTTTCTGGGAACAAATTCCGCAATATTTTATTAAAAGAAGTACTCTAATTATTATAAAGCATAAACAAAATCAGTCCTTTCTGTCCGTGAAATTGGGGATATCACACAATCAAACCTTGTTGAACATGGTTCGTTCCATGATTAGTCGAACTTAGCTAACTATCTCATTATGGGGGTATGCCTTAGAGACTGCCGCCCATATCATTAATCTAGTCCCGACTAAGAAGTTTGCGAGGCTTTCGTAAGACAAAAGACTCACGACAAGATCGAACCTCGTAGTGAGCAGTGTATTTTCATCGGCTATCCACAGAAGTCCTTTGGATATCTCTTCTATAAACCGAATGACAATGTTGTCTTCGTAGTGAGGAGAGTGGTTTACAGAGAGCGAGAACTCATATGTCAAGAAGACAGTGGGAGACAAATTGATCTTGAAGAACTTTGAGAATCAAGCGATGAAGGAACCTCTAACACTGGCACTCAATCCGAGGAGGAAACTCCTGTTGAACCAATTGACGAGTCCTTACCTCTTAGACGCTCCAGTATAGTTAGCGTTCCACCGGAGTTTTATGGTTTCCATATAACTGTTAAGGCTGATACGTTTATTAGTGATAGTACACTAATAAACTTGGATGAACCTAACAACTACAAGGAAGCTGTGGCTGGCCCGGAGTCTGCAAAATGGAAAGAGGCAATAGACAGTGAGATTCAGTCCATGTATGACAATCAAGTTTGGAACTTGGTTGACAATGTACCAAGTCGTAAGATGGTCGGGTGCAAGTGGATCTTCAAGAAGAAGACCAACATGGATGGGAAAGTACACACATATATGGCACAATTAGTTGCGAAGAGCTTTACTCAAACTCCTGGAGTTGACTATGATGAGACACTCTCACCAGTGGCGAATATCAAATCTATAAGGGCTATGCTAGCCATAGCTGTGTTTCATGATTATGAAATATGGCAGATGGATTTCAAAACCGCTTTCCTTAATGGGAAGTTGGCTGAAGATGTTTACATAAGTCATCTAGTAGGTTTTGTGGATGCAAGTGCCCTAATAGAGTGTGAAAGCTTGAGAAATCCATGTGTGGATGGAAACAAGCATCTCGTAGACGGGAATCTTTGTGTTGATGAGAAAGTAAAAGAGTTTGTTTTTTTGAGAAACGAGGATGAGTCCTTTGTATATGTCAAAGCTAGTGGAAGTATAGTTAGCTTTCTCATTTTGTATGTGGATGACATACTGCTCATAGAAAACAACATCCTAACCTTGTAGGAGGTTAAGTCCTAGCATGGGAAGTGTTTCACTATGAAGGACCTCGGAGAAGCTGCTTATATTCTATGGATAATAATATTGAGAAATAGGAGTAAGATAATGATAGGACTTAGTCAAAGTACTTACTTGGATAAAGTTTTGAAATGTTTCATCATGGAAAATTCCAAGAAATGGGAGTTACCAATCCAAAGAAATACCAAGTTGAGTAAGACTCAAAGTCTGAGTACCAATGCCAAGGTAGTAGAGATGAGCAGTGTACCTTATGCTTCCGCAGTTGGCTCAATCATGTATGCTATGACATGTACTCACCCTGATGTAGCCTTCGCTTTGAGCTTGGTCAACAGATATCAAGGGAACCCTGGTAGAGAACATTGAACCACAATAAAGAATATTCTCAAGTACCTACGAAGGAATAAGGAATGGTTCATTATCTTCGGTGGGAGTGATGACTTGAGAGTTCGAGGGTATAGTGACGCCAGTTTTCAGACCGACCGGGATAATTTCCGCTCGCAATCGGGCTGGGTCTTTACCTTGAATGTAGGAGCAGTGACTTGGAAAAGTTCCAAGTAGGAGACAGTAGTTGATTCAACGTGCGAATCAGAGTACATAACAGCGAGCGGAGCATCAAATGAAGCAATATGGTTAAAGAACTTCATCGGAGACCTTGGAGTTGTACCGGCCATAAAGGAGCCTATGGAGATTGTCTGCAATAACGAAGGTGCGGTTGCCTTAACCAAGGAACCGAGGGATCATGGCAGATCCAGGAATATCGACAGAAAATATCATTTCATTAAACATCGGGTGGGAGAGTGACTCCTCGTATTAAAGAGGGCATCGTCAGAGGATAACCCAACAAATCCCCTTACGAAGGGACTGAGTAGGGTTAAGTACTTGCAGCACGGTAGGAGCATTGGGTTGAAGGACGATATTAGTTTTAGTGATTAGATAGTTTTTAGAAACTTGTAATATATATAAATTGTAATTAACATTTGATGATTAAATAAATGAGTATTATTTATGAGTAAAGTTATTGTCTTATGTTATTTATTTACTATGGTTTCAGTTTGCATGTTTTGACTTCCTAAATAATCAGATTATTTAAACTATCCATAGTCGTTCATACGTTGGAAGTAAGTATGAAAGACGACTATCATGAATTGGCTTGTAGATTGCCTAAGTGTTTAGACATAGCAAAAGTTTGCCGCAATGTTCATGAGTGCTCTTGAAATAAGATTTGAGTATTGGATTAAAGTCACGCTCACATGAATCACTTCATGGAATTTAATAACGAGTGATTATGAGATGATAATATCATATAGTCATTAAACCTAGATATATGAGTTGTTGTTTACGAGTTGGTTGTGCATTGATAATGCGTAAACGCGCCAGTAAATTGATGTTAGAAAATGTATTGTTGTGTACGATTTGATGAGTAAATAGTACAAGCATGTAAGTTGAAGTTTCTTTGTTCCTTTTATCCTACGAGGGTAAAAGCGATATCTTGGTCCCCTAGATGATTTGGTTTGACTTATGTGCCAGGCCCGGTCAGGACTAAATTGATGTGTTCAATTAAGTTATATGTCAGACAGATTAGAGATCGAGAAACAAACTGCTGGACAATAAGTATGTCTATGTTCCATGTATTTGTCCACACGATATCTTGAGAATGGAGGATTATACGATCCCTTATCTAAAGGATGTGTCAGATTTCGACAACGGTTTTGAGAGCTACGATTGCTAATCGAATTTTGAAGTCGTACTTGCATTTATAGTTATTAGACTTATCCAAACGGGAGACTGTTGTGATTAGGTGTCTAAACCATAACTATATTGGTATGTACTTGACCCGGTTGTAGCATGATCCTTTTGGGTTGCCTTCACGAAAGCAACTTGACTAGAATAATGGAGAAAGAGGTTATTATGTTTTATTAATATATTATATGAATAATATATTAAAGGAGAAATAATATTGTTTAATTAAATATTGGTCAAGAATTAATTTAGAGTTAATTTTGTGGTCAAAAGAGATTATTAAATCAATGGGACTGATACTATAATTATAAGATAGTTACTAGGTTGAGCTTAGGATCCGTAGGAAGCAATGGACAAATTCTATTTGGGAGTCCACATAGAAATAATCCAAGGGGCCTTCTGGAAGGATCTGTTGGGTTGGTTAAAGACTAAGCAACTGGATTAGGGTTTTGACTGAAACCATAACTGCTCAACTATATAAGGAACCCTTGGGGTAACCATTTTCGACCACTAGAACCCTATAAGGATTTGTAGAGCCAATTTTGAGCCTCCTCCCTCTCTCTCTCTCTCTCTAAGATTATCCAATTGGTTTGGTATTTGTGATTCATTAGAGGCATCACATTTGAGGTGACAGGTTCTCATAAGCTCAAGATCATCAAGCTACAATCAAAGGTAATACTCTGACTAGGTTTATAAGCTTTGGATGATTATTGAATGTACAACCAGAAAAACTAGATCCAAAGCTTTATGGGTTGCATATGCACCATAGGATTGATGTTTTACTCATAACCCAACAACTAATTCTTCCGTTATTTATTCTACTTAATTTAATCTTCGGTCGGGATACCATCAGATGAGGATTCGGGATGAGGATATACCGAAGAAAACTTTCAGGACTCGGTAAGGGCATTACGATTTTGTGGTGATGCTGTTTGGGCTCACTAATGCCCCAACAACGTTCGTGGATCTCATGAACATGGTATGTAGACCAATGTTGGATCGGTCGGTGATCATTTTTATTGATGATATCCTAATCTATTCTAAGACTAGGGAGCAACATGAGCAACATCTGAGGGAGGTATTGGAGACCCTAAGGGCGAAGAGTCTATATGCAAAGTTCTCCAAGTGTATTATAAGCCTTGTGAGGTGGTCCACTTAGACTGAAGGCCCAAGGAAAATGTCTAGGTGTACTGTAGGCCTTGTAAGGCAATCTAGTCAGACCAAAGGCTCGTGTGTGCATGAATTGTATGTGTATTTTATGTGAGGTGTTTTAGGAGGGAACTCACTAAGCTTTGACTTACAGTTGTGAATTTAAATGTTTCAGGTACTTCTGAGAATCGGGGACAAGAAGAATGTGTGACTGTACACATCATCCAATGATCTGATTTTGACACTCTGATTTTATGTTATGATCGTGAAACAATGATTTTTGTAACTGGTGTTTTATGGAAAAATGATTTTACCTATTTTGAAAATGAAAAATTTTACTATATTTTTCGGGATGTTATAATTTTGTTTACAACTTAATAATTTAAAACTTAAAATGATTTACGTGTTCAAATGAACAAAACAAAAAAATTAAATGACCAAATTTGATATTCACTTATAAAAAATACAATAAAAACTATTGACTCCAATAATAAAGTTGTGCTCAAATTTTGTCATGGAACTTTTTATTGTTGGTCATAGTAATATTTTGGCAAAAATTAAAAGTTTCACTTACATTTTAAAACCTAAAACAAGTTAAATAACCAAATTAACCAAAATGAAAGTGAAGTAATCAAATGCAACCTTATTGACTAATATATATTGCATGCGTAATTTACTTTTAGTTTTTATACATTTAATTCTTCTAATGTAATAATATTTCATTTTACCCTTAATTATGCTTAAATTTTAAATAGTTTTTATTTTTAGTAGTTAATACATTCAATTAAATATTTAATATTTTTTTATGTATGAAATATTAATTTATAACGATTATATAATATTTTTAATTTTCTTTTTATTTACTATAACATATTTTAGGTTTTATACATTTTATCTTCTTATTCTTATGTAACAGTATTTCATTTTACCCTCTTAAGTACATTTCAATTTTAAATATTTATAATTTTTAGTAGTTAATATATTCAATTAAATATTTAATAATATTTTATTTATGAAATTTTAAATTATAACGATTATATAATATTTTTAATTTTTTGAATTGTATTACTATAATGTTTCTTTCATATTTTAAATAAAAACTTGAAATAGTTGTATATAAATATTAAAATGTGATTCATGTTTAAAATAAAAACGACAAATTAAATGAGATGTTTTTTTATAAAACATATTAGATAGAGATGGATAAATTATCTAAATATCAAATATTATCGAAAGAGATTTAACCCTTTGAAGAATGCATAAATGTAATGGTTAAAAATAATTATAAGTTATGATATAAATTAATTGTAGGAGACCAAGAATAAAAAAACTTATGAAAAACTTTTATTACAAATGTTATTATTAGTTATTAAAAAGTAAAAAAAATATAAACGGTAAAAGTTAATCTAAAATTTTAAATCTAAACTATTTATATTTTTTTAAACTATTTTTGTGTTTTTTATTCCATTTTATGAGTTTTGAAATTTGAAAACTTTTTTGATTTTTGAATTCGCATAGATGGAATAAATAAAAACTTGCACTTCTGACGGTCAGCGGCAGGCAAAGGATAGGGTAAAATCGTGTGTATCGCCTGACCTGCGTGTAGCCAACTCCGCCCCCTAAGAATACAGCTGTCGCCATCTCATTGGATTATTCCTCCTCACTTTCACGCGTTTCCCATTTATATAAACCCCTCGAATCCCCTTCTTTCCATTCTCCTTCGATCAAAGAGAATCACACACAAACACCTACCTACACACACTTGCTGCTGCTTGCCCTATCAATCGAGGTATTTTCTATCGCCTTTTTACTTTCTGAATTTCGTTTTGAATCTGTTTACTCTTTAATCGATGCCAAGAGATTTTTGTGATTTTTTTGCGTGTTTTGATGCTCTTAATATTGCTTTTTTATTTTTTTATGTGAATCTGTTAGTTTGCGATTTATTTAGCTGTTTCGAGCAATGATTTTGTATCGTAAGCTGTTAAGATCTGTAAATCTTGCTGTATTGGATCTGCAACTGTTTAAATTAGCTAAATACTGTGTAGCTGTTTAGTTGTATTTTATCAGTTTATAGCAAATCGTGGTAAAGGTTATATGTTGATACGTGTACGGACCAAAAAAGAAAACAATCAGTGGAAGGAGAAATTGTTTCGTCTCAAACTTGAACATTCTGCATCAGTACTTGTACCGTACAATCCACGATGCGTAGTGCGCGAATATTTGACCAAATGTATCTAGCGTCATTAACAGTTGCCTAAAAATCGATTTGTTTTGGTGATGCACAAACTTGTATAAAGTTAGGAAGAACACAAGTTTCATCTCAACCAATGATTGATTTTATACCTTGATTCGTTTCAATCTAGATGAATAGATCTAAAAAGAACACATATTCGCAACTGATCTGATGTTTTTTCTTTTGATTCAGGCATATACTAATTAAAATGGCATCTGAAGCTTCGCGTGAGGAAAATGTGTACATGGCCAAGCTTGCAGAGCAAGCAGAAAGGTACGAAGAAATGGTGGAGTTCATGGAGAAGGTCGCAAAGACTGTAGATGTCGAAGAACTCACAGTCGAAGAAAGAAACCTTCTTTCTGTCGCTTACAAGAACGTGATTGGAGCAAGAAGGGCATCATGGAGGATCATATCTTCAATCGAACAGAAAGAAGAAAGTCGTGGGAATGAAGATCATGTTAAGCTAATCAAGGAGTACAGGAGTACAATCGAGATTGAATTAAGCAAAATCTGTGATGGAATTTTGGGTCTCCTTGAATCACATCTTGTCCCTTCTGCTTCTTCTGCTGAATCAAAGATCTTTTACTTGAAGATGAAAGGTGATTATTTTAGATACTTGGCTGAATTCAAGACAGGTGCTGAAAGGAAAGAAGCTGCTGAAAGCACTTTGTTAGCTTACAAATCTGCCCAAGTGAGTAATCCGTAATCCGTAATTACTTTTATTATATACCATGAATCTTGATGTATTTCGTGTTGACTTTCATTGACTTTTGGTTATTACAGGACATTGCTTTATCTGATTTGGCTCCTACTCATCCAATTCGACTTGGACTTGCTCTTAACTTCTCAGTGTTTTATTATGAGATCCTCAATTCACCTGATCGTGCTTGCAACCTTGCCAAACAGGTAGTTTTTTTCATTTTTTTGTATATTTTATTTTATTTAATATATTCTGATACAAATATAAATATGTTTATATATGTATATTAGGCTTTTGATGAAGCGATTGCTGAGCTGGACACATTAGGTGAGGATTCATACAAAGACAGCACACTCATCATGCAGCTTCTCCGTGACAATCTGACTTTGTGGACATCAGATATTGCGGTTTGTGACTTATTTATTTATTTATTTATTTTTTTGTGGAAATGTCCAAAATGCCCTTGAACAAGAAGGATGATTTGGTGTTTTTGAATGGTGTACAGGATGAGGGTGGGGATGAGATCAAGGAGTCTTCAAAACCTGAAGAAACACAGTGACATTGAAATACACAAATGGGATTTGGTAGGAAGATTAATAGTTTGTGTACTGGTATTACTATTACTATTACTACTTGATTAATCAAAAATTGAAAAGCTTTGATCATGGCTTGACAATTGTTATGTGGCTTTAGGAATTGAAGTCGTTTTTTTTTTTTTTTAAATGGAATGCTGCTGGATTTTATTTCGGGTCATTATGATTTTGTTGTTATTGTGTTTCTGAAGGTATTTTTATTTTTTGTTTTTATTGTTATTATTGGAGGTTAGTTGATGTGTAGCCTCTACAGGATGTTTTGTTTTTGTACCCCATAAATAATGAGTGGTTGAGATTTTCCATTCCAGCTCTTATATTTATATTTGGATTTTGTTTTTTTGTTTCAAAAGGGAAAAAACCTCAACCATATATGTGTATAACATGTTGGTAGATTGGTAGAAACGAAGGTGTTTTTTGTTTTTTAAGAGGTAAAAATTTGCTATTCTTTCTAATAAATTAAGGTTTTTTTTGTTATTTGTCATAATGCTATTCAATTTGCTAAATGCTATTTTATAGTTATTTTGAATTAACTTTTTTTTGCACATTTTATTTTATTAGTTTTTTTATTTTATTAAATTTCACATAATATTTTAATGTAATAATTAAAATAAATATAGTAATAATTTGATAATAATTGAAATAAATATAGTAATAAAATGATATTAATTTCATTAATAAATTTACTTTTTAATTTTAAAATTCTCAAAATTAAAGTTTGTTAATTTTTTTTGTTTATTTAAATTTTTTTTTAATTTAAAATGTAAAAAACATTTCCATTATAATAGTTTTTTTTTATTTTAGGTTATTTTTCTTATTCTTTTATAAACTCAAAATTTTCAAATATTTTGATGTTTATATTTAATTTTATTTTTTAAATTGATCCATCTAATACATGTGTAATATATAAAGATCTGTAGAAGAATAGGCCTATAAAAACTAAAATTTAATTAAATTATTTATTTACTTAAAAAGGTTTTTCAATAAAATTTATATAATTTTAGTTTTAAAATCCTTCTTAATAAATGAAGGTTTTTTTGTCACACGTCTTCTTTTCATTCATTTGAACACATGATATTTTGTCATAATTTTGAAATATGTTTATTTTCCAGTTGTCAATTACTTCATTATTAATTTGCACTATATCATTAATTTAGTTTCCATAAATTAAACACATTATAATAACTATTAATTTTAAATTTTAAATTTTAAATTTAATTTCAAATAAATTTACAGTTTAAACCTTTGTATTTAACATTTTATTATAATAACTCGTTTACATTGTTCTAACAATTAAACACATAATTTTAATTAATTTATTTTTTACATGTTTTTTTTCCTCATAATTTTCACTTATTTCATGTTTCAAATTCAAATAACCTTCTCATTTAATCGCTCATATTTAAAATTATGTTTTAATTAACCCGTATAATATACGGGTTTCACAACTAGTGCTAAAATATAATTTGTACAATGTAAAAAAAACATTCATTCTATTAATAAAAAAAATATTAGATCTACATATTTCATTAATAACTCAACGATTTCATCCTATAAATAAGATATATTCCCAGTTAGCTATGATGTGCTTCAATCTCGTTTCGTCATCATCAACGTGCAAATGATTATGCTTAAACGAGGTTGGTTGATCATATTGAGAAAGAGTTTATCATTTAAATTCTCTTTTTTAATAAAATTATGAAACACAAACATGTAATTGTGATGTTTTTTTTTGTGTAACCAACGAAAATTGTGTCGTCCTCTTCAATATAGAGAAATGTGTTTCAAGACATCAAAAACACATTCAATGACGTTGGAAAGTTTTGCATGTAAATGATTAAAAATTTCTTTATTTGTCAATACATATCTCCGATGAAAATTTTCAACCTCATATTAGGATATGGAGCTTTAAATCATCATCGAATTTGTGCATACGCAACATCACAAATATAATATTCCACTATAAAGATAATCAGATAATTAATGTTTAAAATAAGATATATAAAAAACATATACTTGATAGTTGAAACAAGACTTGTGCACTTGGATATACTAATGTTTTTATTATATTTTAGAATCATGTACTATCTTTTTCCAATGGGCCACAACAAGTTGGTACTATCATTTCTTTTGATAACAATCGTATTCCCCTTTCAAAAACCCTTCATAATCTCTTATTATGTTACGAAATATTTGAATTTTGATTAAAATAAGTTGGTACTATCATTTCTTTTGCGAAAATCATCATTTCATCCATTCAAAAAAAATGAATATAAATTATTTGTTTGGAGTGTTGAAGTATACTCTTGACGACTACATAACGTTGATTCGATCGATCATCATAAAAAAACATAGTCATCTTTTTTCTTCAATTGATACGTGTTTGTTATCATTTAAGCAATAATGTGTAGGGAAATTTAGGGTTTGTGGTGGAGATCTGGATACCAACTTGGATCGTGATATCACTTTCCGAACTGATATTTATACCTTATGCCTACGTTACAAGAAATCCAACCTAGGATAATCTAAGTGGACACTTACGATCATAGAAATCGTAAGCCAATACGCTAGAGGATTCTGTGAAAGTATAATGAAAACCGGGAGCTTAAGATCGTAACCCTCTTCTGAAGAGGAAGAACTGTTTATATATTAAACTGGATTAGGGTTTCATTAGGGTTGGGTCGTCATTAGTTGCTTTGGAAGCAAGTCATAATAATCAAAATTTAATGAGTATTTAAGGTTATCAAAACTCTCGTTAGTTTTATCATAATCACCCTCAGCGGGAATTGAACCCTGCTAGGGGGCGCTACCCCCGGACCCCCGACTAATCGATGAACCAGCTTCTAGTTCAATCTTATACATGTGTGCACTCCGCACAACCCCGTACATATATTAGAGTACAATTTATGAATCCCCTTAGCTCATATGTTATTTCTAGTTACTTAAAATGACATGGTAACACTTAAATCACCAACATAATTACTCTGAAATGTGTGTATAGTTGGACAAAGGATTAAAAGGACATGAGAAGTAGCTCTATACATCGTTGGTTATTATCTTTCAATAACTCCAATGTAAATTGATGTCGGCGCCCTCGTGTTATTATGTCGCTTTCATTTCATATTTCCATTAAAAAACGATGACACAAATACATAAGAATTACGAGCAATAATATTTTGTCGTAATCTATTATGAAACTATTAAAGCATTAACATGTGTTAAGAAAATGCAATTGTTTCCACCATAGGCTAGCAAACACTTGTCAACAACATAAATAAAACTTAGAACATCCATCCAAAAACATAAATTTTTTCCAACATGGGCAAAAAAACATACGAACTTCTCTAACATGAGCAAATAAACAATGTTTCCAAAAGCAAATAAAATTGTTTTCAAAAAAGCACATCCGTACTTAAATAATCTCAAACTCATAGCGATCATCTTGATCCATTCTTTTAAAACCTATGAATGGAGGACAATACAATTCATGACTTTGATGGGAAGTGGATCGGTTGAAGCACTACCTGATGGATCAAATAAAATGATCAACAATTGGATCATGAGTCTGATGAGAAATGCCTTCTTCATCTTTGGTGTGTTCATAACTTGTGTTTTGGGACAATCCAGAAAATCGTCATCAACCGCCGTTAGGATTTAACGATGTTATCAACACTTAATTAAACCACTTTGTAACCATTTGGTATATGAATAAAAATATTCGATTTTCGCCCTTAAACACAGCAACATATAGGCTCAAAATTTAGTGCACTACAAATCATGTCATCTACGACCAGGTTAACATTTTAAGAGTGTACAACTTACCACAAACCTAGAAATATAAACTTCATAAAAATTAAACTTAATAAGGAATAGTTGGTTTTATAGGAAATAAAAAATCTACCGCATGCAAAAAGTTACAACATCAAAACTACGAATAGAACGGTTGACTTTTCACAAAAGTCACCAAAATGAGAAACGTAGTGCTAATTAAAGTAAGAAATTAGAGATAAAAAACACCTAAATCGGATCGTGCATGAAAATTTTATGATTTTTATAAAATCATAACGGTTATAAAATATAGACTAAAAAAGAAAGTTGGAATCAGCCAAAACGAGCAAAATGAAAGATATAGTATACGTCGAGACCTGCACGGATATATATATATATATATATATATATATATATATATATATATATATATATATATATATATATATATGAGTTATTGAAAACAGAGCTCGTATGCGAGAGTTACAAAATTTTGAAATTTGATAATCACTATCTCGTGCACCTATGACTTACGTGCAGTGTGTATTCTGACACCCATATTCGTCTAGATTTGGATGACATGCCACCTTCAGAGAGGGACACGTGTTAGCTCCATGGGTGGCTCACGCGCAATTGTGTGGCGTGCGTTGCACGATGTGCACCCCAATCAGCCTTGTGTTTTATTGAGCAATTTCTTGCCATCTTTGTGATTTAAAGTTAGAAGAAGAAAGCAAAGGCTTGGAGTTTCAGAAGGAAGGTTGGATATCCAGAGCTAAGGACTCATTTTCGTCTTCATAGAGGTATAAAGCTTATACCTTGGCTGTTATTAACTTATATCTCCTTCTTAGCTTGTATGTTGTCATTTTTGGGCAATTTCCAAGGTCATTCTGAGATTTGACCTCTTGGGGGCGAAAGGACTTCAGATCTGGGCGTTCTTGAGCTTTAGAACCTCAAAGATGCAACGTTTATTCAGCCATGACTCCATTCTATGGCTTAGACCTTCATTTTTGGATTGTATTGCGTGTTTTAGCTTCATAGCACCATGCACGCACGTAAAGTTAGCAACTTTACATGTAATGATAGTCTAAGGAGTCCATATCTATGAATCAGAAGCATTGCAATGGATTAGAATCGACTGAATGGATATGTCACATGGAGGACTCGACGAGTTGTTCTTGGACTCGGCGATTCGGGTCGTGAATCCTAACCCCTTTTCTGGTTGTGAGTGAAACCATTGAGTTTAGGAGATGATTCAGTGAATTGAACAAGATTAGGACTCGGAAACTGAAGAACTCGACGAGTCCAAGGAGGGACTCGACGAGTTAAAGTTGATATGTTCCGATGTTATGATAGGAAGAACTCAACGAGTTTGGGAAGGGACTCGATGAGTTG